TTTGGTATTTTCACACAAATTCTTCTGCTAGTTGGGGTTTAGTCCACTTTTGTATCCTTCCCTTCAAGGCTCAGGGGTCCAAGATTATCTTCTGTCTGTGTTAATTGGTTTCCCTTTTCTTTGTTGAAGAGCGTCTGTGCAGTCCTTGTGCCTAGTCCGCCATCTTGCCGGAACCTCTCCACAATCCTCTTTCATGTACTAATACTTTTCTCTATCTCCCTTAGCTTTTTCTTGTGGGATTGCCTCAGGCTGTCTGTCTCTCCATTGAGAAGTTACTGCTTCTGTCAGGACAGCTTTCTTTACATAACTCTCTCCTTTGGGGTTCAGGAAAATGCTCTCTCCTTCCCTCCTGTGGGCCTTAGGAGTGGTAATCATTTAGCTGTTACTGGTCCAGTTAACTTCACTAGCCCTTGTTATATCCTTGTATCAAACACCCACACAAATTTTTCATAATTTGAGTGACATCTATTTCCTGTTGGGGACTTGATATGCACTTCTTCATTTTTTTTTTTTACTTTTATTGTGGTGAAAATATATACAAGACATTCCTCAGCATAACAACTTTCCCATTTACAGCTCAGGGACAGTGATGACATTTCTCACGTTGTGCCATCATTATTGCTGTCCTTTTCCAAAATATTCTACCACCATTAGCATAAACTCAGTGTTCCCCAAACAAAAGCTTCCCCTTCTCCCCTTCCTTCTACCCCTGGTGGCATATAATGTACCATATATCTAGTACTAGGCAAGACCCTGCTGGATGTCATGAGGAACAAAAATAAGTAAGCTGGTAAATAAGTAAGGAAGTATTTGGTATATATATGTTCTGGTTACCTAGTGCCACTCTGTCAGGAAATATACCACAAATGGGTGATTGGAACAAACAGGAGTTTATTCTCTCACAGTTTGGAAGCTCTAAGTCCTAGTTCAAAGTGCCAGGCTCTAGGGGCTGGGTAAAGGCCCCTCAACCTTGAGCTTCAGCTCTGCCTCCTGCTCCCGGCCCACTGAAGCTGGAGGCTTTTCTTTACTCAGATAGCTGCTGGCTGCTGAATCTAACAAACCCAGGGTTGACAAGTAAAAAAGTGTCACAGTACCAATATTATCAAACAACATGACAGGCCACTAATTCAAGTCCAGGAGAAGTCCCAGGATCAGCAGGGCATGGCAGGCTGCTGAACAATGACTTGGCTACATGCAGGGTTCAAGTGTGCCAAAAAGCTGGAGCCCTTCCTCAAAGTTGTTTCTTATATACTGGAAGCAACCCACATCCCTGAAGCAGCTACTCAGAGGCTCCATTAGACTTTACCATGGAGTTAATTACTAGCCTCACCATGGGGAACAACTATATCCAGCTGCCCAGCCAATCAACCAGGCCCAGCCAAGTTGACATACAACCTTAACTACCACTGTCCATCTATCTATCTATCTATTATCTACCTACCTACCTACCTACCTACCTATATCCCCCCCAAGCTATCCAGGAATTTAGCCTCCCCTCCTTTCCTATCCCTGGTAACTAACAAAGAAAGTTTCCTTCCATGTATAAACCTTTCCTTGACTTTTTTTTAATAGTGGATTAATACAATATTCAATACAATATTCCTTCTGTGACTGACTTATTTCACTCAGCATAATGTCTGTCCTCCAAGTTCATCCACATTATGCAGTGTTTTGCAGATTCTACATTATTCTTTAGGGTTGCATAGTATTCCATTGTGTGTATGTGCCACAGTTTATCCACTCCTTGGTTGATGGACACTTAGGTTGTTTCCATCTCTTTCCTATTGTGAATAGTGCTATTTCTTTAAAGGAATTTTCACTTATGCATTTCACAGGATGCAATCTTTCCTTCTTCTGAATATAACATAGCATTTTGTCTAAAGACATTAGTCAAATTCTGCATTTTATCTAGTTGCTTGTCCAATTCCCTCTCTTTGAGTTTAAAGACTTGAAGAGCAAGGAAGCCAGCTTATTTTTGTTCCTTATAACATCCAGCAGGGTCTTGCTTAGTAGTAGGTATTTGGTACATTATATGCTTAATAAGTTGTTTTAAAATTACATATCTTCCAAGTGTTATACTTGTTAACCTATGCTCACCTGAGAAAGGAAGAAGGATATTACAAAGAATGGAAAAAAATAATGTTTTCTTCTTATCCGCAAGATATATTTTATACAGAACTGCCTATATCATGTCAATTTCCACTTTACTATACTTCCAATAGCTAATCTTCAGAATCTTGCAACAATTAGTTGAAAATGACTTGATTGAATTTCAGATTATGAAATTTTGTATATTTCCAAATATTGTAAATTCTATCTCCAGCTCTTTCTAAGTTCACCTCTTCATTTGGACTTTTCTGTTGAAACTCAACTCACTATGATAGATACTTTATGCCACAATCAACCCAAATATTACATAATATGTAATTTTCATTTTCTTTACTATTTTGAAATTATTTACTAATTTCCTGTGTGAATTTGCCTTAATAGGAGGGCATGCTTTCTATTTCTTTAGTATCTTATCATAGGGTTTACTCTGGTATTTTACAAGTAGTAAGGGCTTCCTCAATAGACCAACAGAACTCTGAGAAGTATGGAAAATTTACTATTCCTTTATTTACTAAAATATGGTTTCAAAGTATAAAGCTGTCTTCTTCATGAGAAGAAGTCAAAAATCAATCTTTATATTAACACTTTCAGTGACTTCACAAATTGTTATTACTAAATTGTTGTCCAAAACAATGAACAATTTACAAAGTCTTTAACTGTGTTTGGAGAAGTCCACAGACTCTGAGAAGAATGTTTGCATTGACTCACCATTACCATTTTAGAAAGCATTCATGGCTCTCCTTCTGTTGATGTCTCTCTTGATTTGGCAAAGAGAACAATGAGGACAGCAAAGAGTTGAAAAGAAGTCCCCACAGATGGATCCCTATTGAAAATATTAAAGAAATAGAAAAGTTAAATTCATCTATTTGGAATGTAGGACTTGTGGCAAAGACACCACTCCTTGGGATTCAGTGTTTGTGTGGATATATTTAGGAAAATGTTAATTGATTTTTTTTTTTTCATATAACTATTGCCTTTTTATGACATAAAATATTTCTCTATACTTTATAATATGAAAAACATATAAAGATATGCAACCAAACTCTCTGTCAAGCATAAAAACAGAATAGAGAGTTCCAGGAATTAAAGTCTCAAAATTCTTTTTTTCCCACATAAGCTCCCTGTGCTCCACCAAAATGAAGGAATAAAATAAGAAAGACGAAAATATGGGCTGTAAGAAACAGGAATCGAATGGAATTCCTATAGTGATGATGAAGGGAGATCCCAGGATGAGAGCTGAGCACCAGGATTAGTTCAAAGGGAAGCAGGTTAGGAAGTTCAAGGAGAGATTTCATCAAGAAAATGAAAGTGATAGAATGGTGTAGTGCCTAAAGCATTTAACTTCTAACCAGAAGGCTGGCGGCTCAAACCCACCAGCCACTCCTCCAGAGTTCCCTTTAGCACATCACAGAAGTCTAAATCATCCTCACCCAAGTTATAGCTGAATTATTTTATGTTTGATATTCATTGAGTGGTTTTTTTTTGTTTTTGGTGCTAAATAGATTTTTTTCTGGTTCGTTTTGTTCTCTCTAGTAGTTTTAGAAAGGAGTTCTGGTGGCACAGTGCCTAAGACATTTGACTGCTAACTAGAAGGTTGGCAGTTTAAACCCACCAGCCACTCTGAAAAAGGAAGATGGGGCAATCTACTTCCTTAAAGGTTTACTGCCTCGGAAACCCAGTAGGGGTCCCTAAGAGCTGGAACCTACTCAACGGCAGTGAGTTTGGTTTTTCGGTTTTGAGTAGTTTTAGATGTTCCACAAACTTTTTTTTTTTTTATCCTATAAGTGATTATCTTTAAATTTTTATCCACTATTTATACTTACCTATCAATCTGTAACAAAATAAAGTCTTCGGAATGCTTTTATTTCTTCTTCTGCCTTCCAATCTCTGAAATTTTCTTCAAACCAACTAAAGTTTTGCTTTCAGACGGATACTGATTTTTGAAAGTCCAAAGGAGCATTAAAAAATTAATTATGTACTGGGCCTTTAAAAAATTTGATTACTTTCATATTAAATAATAATATAATAAAGAGTTCTCACAAATCAATAACTAACAATCCTATAAAACAATGAACAAAAGGAAATGTACAGATATTTTATAAAAATAATACAAAAGGACAACTTTTAAAAAATTTTCAAAAGTTGCTTGATGTAACTAATAAAAATTAGAAAAAAAAAACAAACCCATTTTGCTTCTCCAATTGGCAAAATGATATTATCCAAAACTGATACACTTACATATTGTATTAACAATTAGGATTATAAATTGATAATTCATTCTCCTTTCTGGATGGCATTTTGGCAGTATCAAAAATTTCAATGTACATACCTTGTGATCTATAGATATAATATCTATTAAACTATTATACAGAAATTCCAGTGCATATATGTAATAATTTATATACAACTATTTAAATTACAACATTTAGCCTTTCATAAAAAGAAAAATAAACATGTACATTAGCTATATGATGGAATTTTTCAGACATTAAATAGTATCATATTACTGACATGAAAAGAGGTCTACCACACATTAAGGGGGGGAAAAAAAGTTACATTGTAGTATGACTCCATTTTTTAATGAAAATGGAAGAAAGCCTCCCAAACTGTGAGTCGGAATGCACTCTTGGGCAGTGAGTTTGGTTTGCTTTTTTATAGCTATATCTACAGATAATTGTATTTCTATGCCTATAGGCATAGAAAAAAGGAAAAGATGCACACCAAATTATTAACAGTGTTTATCATTGGGAAGTGTAGTTTGATGTAGACAAATTATATTTTTATTTTTATACTTCTGTATGTTTGAATTTGTCCTTAATATTATGTATATCACACATTAGGAGCTCTGGTGGTGTAGTGCCTAAGGCATTTGATTGCTAACCAGAAGGCTGGAGCTTCAAACCCATCAGCCACTCCTTGGAAGGACGGTTGGGCAATCTACTTCCATAGTGATACTCCCTAGGAAAACCAAGGAAGGGTCGCTATGATTTGGATCTGACTCCACGGCAGTAAAGTTTTTGAGGTATATCACATATTATTCCTCTGTAACTAAAAACTAATGAAGATTTTTAAATGAAAAAATAAAATTAAGTTAAATGGAGTAAAATAAGTTGTTCCTAAGAAAATTCTGCATATTCATTTGTTCCCCTACTCCATAAAGTGAAACTTATGTTGTAATGAAAGGTTATGTATGGAAAGTGAGAATGAAAACTGACTCTCTACTCTCAGTGTATATGTTTGGGTTACATACTCCAACTCTTAAAACCTGAATGTTTTCATCTGTAAAATATGATGAATAAATCCATTTTATAGGGATGCTGTTAAGATTGTTGTTGTTGTTGTTGTTTGCCGTTGAGTCGGCCCCGACTCATAGCGACCCCCTCCTTGGGTTTCCGAGGCAGTATCACTACAGAAGTAGGATTGCCCAACCTTCCTTCCGAGGAGTGGCTGGTGGGTTTGAACCGCCAGCCTTCTGGTTAGCAGTCAAGTGCCTTAGGCACTATGCTACCAGCTGTTAAGATTGTTGTTGTTGTTGTTATGTGCCGTCGAGTCGGCCCCGACTCATAGCGACCCCTCCTTGGGTTTCCGAGGCAGTATCACTACGGAAGTAGGATTGCCCAACCTTCCTTCCGAGGAGTGGCTGGTGGGTTTGAACCGCCAGCCTTCTGGTTAGCAGTCAAGTGCTTTAGCCACTATGCTACCAGAGCTCTTAGGAGAGGTAATTTATGAAATTCATGCAGGGCGTCATTGTTGTTGTTGTTGTTATGTGCCCTCGAGTTGGACTCAACTCATAGTGACCCCTCCTTGGGTTTCCGAGGCCATATCACTACAGAAGTAGATTGCCCAACCATGGTAGGTTCTGAATAATCCTTTCCATTGTATGACATACTTTGCAAACATGAGAGTTGTTTGTATTCTAGGGTTTTCTACAGAAACCTAGAAGGTAACATATCCAGAGGATCAGCTGCTACAATGATTGAATACAAGGTTGCCAGTCCTAGGAAATACCAATCAAATTTAAAAGAAGGACACCATCAAGTGACCTCCATGTTTATAATAGTCATTTTGAGTGTGGTTGCATATCTGAATGCTACAATGTTAGGAGTGACTCACAGGGATGTTGTATCGAGTCCTGTAGAGGGTCCTCATTGCGACACTTGTTCCACACAAACAGCATTCATTCATGTCAGCTGCAACTTGATATCCAAGGCACATGAAACAAAATGTGCCACAAAGACCTGGACACATGAAACCAAGGGTACAAGTTATTCCACTCTGCCCCCACCACAGCTGAAAGCTAGTTTGCTTCACTAATGGCAGCGTAAATCATGGGTTCTTTACCACATAACCTACTGTCAAGAAAAACTTCACAGCTTTTATTCAGGTGTACATCAGCCTTCCTTCTCCCCGCCAAATCATATCAGGAATGACTGATTTTTTTTTTTAATGTCATTCTTTTCATAGCACTGCCTTAATACATCTATTCAAGGATTCATCAAAACCTGGCCATGTTCCAGACATTATCCTAGGTACTGCCAATACCTCTGCCAGAATTCTATCTAATAGGGAAGACAGACAGTATGAAAAGTTCTCTTAACAGAAACCTGCCCAAGATGCCAAGGGATCACTCACGGAAACAAGGCGTTCAAGACTCCAAATAGGAAATGTTGCTTGGGCTGAATCTGGAAGGATGATTAGGAGTTTTGCAGGTGGACAAAGGGAAGAGAGCCTCTGTGGGATAGGTTGGCAAGTACAGGCTAGTGTTCAGAAGGGTTGGGGCCCAAAAATAGGATGGAGGTAAAGCTGGAAGGTGAATAAGGTGAGGACCAGATAATAAAGACCACCTGTGAGTGTCCAGAGTTTGTCAGGAAAGTAATGAGGAACCATTGAAATATTTAGAAGAGAGAATGATTTGGTCACATTTACATTTAAGAAAGCCTGCCATGAAGCAAGTGAGCTTATATTAGAACTTGTACATTCACTTCATTGAGTGATAATATTAGAGGTGGGAGAATCAAAAGCGTAAATCTTTAGAAGGTTTTACTAATCACTATTTATCACTGTGATTTGCAGATGCTGAGCTGAGGTCCCGAGAAATTATCACCCCAGATCATCATGTAAGGCAATGACTGTGAATAAACAAAACTGATTTTTCCATTTCCTGGCTAATTTCCCCCCCCCCCCCTTTAATGCTCCTCAGAAGGAGCTCTGGTGCTGTAGTGGATAAGGCATTTGGCTGCTAACCAGAAGGGCAGCGGTTCAAACCCACCAGCCACTCCACAGAAGGAAGATGGGGTGATCTACTGCTGTAAAGATTTATAGCTTCGGAAACCCAGTGGGGGTTGCTATGAGTTAGAATCGATTCAATGGCAGTGAGTTTTTTTTTAAATTGCTTTTCAATGCCATTATCAACTTGATTCATTTTTGAGTTTCATTAGGAAGTTAAAGATTAATTTTTTTTGGCTTAATAAGACTTAAGACAGGCAAATAAATCTCAGAGCAAATTTTTGCAGGCAAGACTGTTTGTTTCTTGGTTCCTTTTGAGAAATTAGCACCTTGATTCTCTCTGCCACCTCTATCTCACTCCCACACTTTTATTCCCCTCTAGGTTGATGTGGAGAGCTTTCTTAGATCCCACTGAAAGGGTGCTCATTAAAATAAAATGAAGCAGAGTCAGAGGTATTTTTCCAAACACTATCAAATTGCCTTTAGAATTATTTTTTTTAAGAAATACAGTTTTATTTATTTTATTGTTGTTGAGAATGTTGTTGTTGGTTTTTGGTGTCATTGAGTCAATTCTGACTCATAGTGACCCCATATATAATAGAACAAAATACTGCCTGGTCCTGTGCCATCCTCACAATCTTTGCTATGCTTGAGGCCATCGTTGCAGCCACTGTGTCAGTCCATCTAGTTGAGGGTCTTCCACTCCTTCGCTGACTATTTACTTTACCAAACATGATATCCTTCTCCAGAGACTGGTTGCTTCTGACAACATGACCAAATTAGGTGAGACAAAGTGTGGCCATTCTAGCTTCAAAGGAGCATTCTGGCTGCACTTCTTCCAGGAAGTGAGAATATACACAGCATAAACTGCCTTCAAGTCAATTCTGACTCATAGAGACCCTGTATGACAGGGTAGAACTGCCTCACAGTGTTTCCAAGGCAGAAAATCTTTTTTGGAGGCAGAATGCCACATATTTCTCTCACGGAGCGGCTGAAGGATTGGAACTGCAGACCTTTCTGTTAGTAGTTGAGAGTTTTAACCACTGTGTCACCAGGGTTCCTCATACACAGTAAAACATACACCAAATCAACGGTTTCTACATGTATCATTTAGTGACACTGATTACAATCTTCAAGTTGTGTAACCATTCTCACACTCCTTTTCTGAATTGTCCCTACCCAATTAACATAAATATAACAGGTGGCACAGTGCTTAAGGCACTTGGCTGCTGAACAAAAGATGGGCAGTTTCAACCCACCAGCTGCTCTGTGGGAAAAAGATGAGGCAGTCTGCTTCCATAAGGATTTACAGCCCTGGAGCTGGAAAAGCCTGTGGGGCAGTTCTACTCTTCTCTGAGTTAGAATTGACTTGATGGCAGTGTTTTTTGTTTGTAAATTATCAAATTAACTGCCCCCCTTAAGGTTCTTATCTTATCTTTTGCATTGCTGTTGTCAAGCGATGTCATATAAACAGTTTTAAAAAGAGCATAATGTTCAAGGCACACATTTTTCACTGCTAGTTAAGGTAAACTACTATTGTTTGGTTTTAAGAAGGCTTTAGGGGATATTTTTGGTTTAAAGTTTAAAGGTTATTTCAGGCACATAGTTTCAGGGGTTCATCCAAACTTCATGGCTCCAGAAAGTCTGTAGTCCATGAGAATTTGAAATTCTGTTCTGCGCTTTTCCCTTTTGATCATGGTTTTTCTATGGAATCTTTGGTGAAATTTCTCAGTAATGGTAGTTGGGCACCATCCAGTTCTTGTGGTTTCATAGCAAAGTTGTTCATGGAAGCAATAAGCTACATATTCCGTATCCTCCTCCTATTCTTGACTCTCTTTCTTCTGTTGTTCCACGCAAATAAAGACCAAATGCTGTGCCTTGGAGGGCTGCTTGTAAGCTTTTAATACCCCAGGCACTATGCACTGACCTAGGAGGTAGAACAGAGGCACTAAACATATTATTAGGCCAATTAACTGGGATGTCCGGTGAAACCACGACCCTAAACCTCCAAACCAAGAAATCAAGTGCCATGAAGTTTTTGGATGTCTATAATCAGTCTCAGCAGCTACTCTTTCTTTTTCTTTTTGTCGTTGTTGTAAGTATATCTATCCCACAGCTTTTGCCAATTTAACTTTTTACAGGTGTGAGACTTACTGACACCCATTACAGTCAGTAATCAGCTGTGCAACTCTACCCTTAATCAATTAGTCTTGTTCATTGTTAGACTCAATCAGCTCTTTCACTGTCATCTTAAATCTAAAAGTTACTTTTGGAGTAAAACTACTCTTTGAAGGGCCGGTGAAGAATTAATTTGTAATCAGTATAATACAGTTAAGCCTTTTTTTTTTTTTAAAGATACCATTACTAGTAATCAGGATGCTTATCAAAAGTTGGGAAGTTTTACTACACAAAAAGGGAGGAGTACGGAAAGGACTGGGCCTTGGTAATTTACCTCAAAGTCAATTATGGGGAAACATTTCATGTACTTACAGACTGTGCAGTCACTGAAGCAATCACAAAGGCCAGTTTGCCACTTGGAGGTTTGGGCTGGCTGACAATACCCAGGTTGATTCATAATGATCACTGGTGCCTGAGGTTCCATTTTCCATGCAGGGTCTTAAAAGGCTATGGTCTGAAAAGGAAAAAAGTTGGTGTAAAATATCCTTGAGGGTGCTCTTGAAAGCTCCTGTCCTGAGGCACTATGTCTCACTGGTGGAGTGAGGCATTTAAATCAAATTGCTTGATGATCTAAGAAGGTAATTTCTATCCACCCCCCCACCACCCTCAGAGGACAGAAGTCCCTGGAGAGACAACCCCCCCCCCCCAGGACAGAAGTCTCTGGAGAGAAGGATTCACTGAACTGGCAAGATAAACAGATGCTTCTCACAGGGTAGGGGAAGTGAGCCTATTTTTAGACAGGTACCCAACATTCACACAAGGTAGAGAAACCAATGACCACCCTGTGATAGTGGTTGCAAGTAGACAATTATAGAAAACAGTGTTCTTTAAAATTGTTCCAGTCCCTGGGTGGCTCAAATGGTTAAGTATTCGACTACTAACTGAAAAATTGCAGGTTCAAACACACCCAGAGGAGCCCTTGAAGACAGGCCTGGATGCTTCTGAGAGAACACAGCCTTGAAAACCCTCTGGAGCAGTTTTACCCAGCACACGCAGGGTCACCACGAGTTAGAGTCAACTCGGGCAACACACTACAGGCTCTTGTGCATGTTCACTCTTCCCCCTGTTTCTCTTTATTTACACTGTCTTTTATTTTGGACTTGTTTTGTTTAGCACTCCTCCCCAATCTCCCTGCATCCAGGCTGGTCCTTCACTTTGAATTTACCCACAGCCCGTACCCCTTTGTCAGTGTTGGCTTGACAGCCCCCTGCCACATGGCGGGGGCAGACCCAGACAGTGTACTCCAGGAAGTTTATTACGAAGGAAATTTTATAAGATTAGTCCTAGTTTCTCTCTATCAGAGAAGCAGTGTCATGGAACATGGATAAGATTTGGAGTGAGAAAATCTATAATCAAATCCTAGTTTCCTAAACCATGTGATCTTGGACTAATCTTAAAAGCCTGGTCATTGAACTTTTCATTTGTCAATCTAAAATGGGAATGTTTTCTGACCTACCACTAACATGCTCATTCAAAGTATTAAATGAGATAAAATATGTGAACAATACAGAATCAAACAAATTACAAGGGTGGCTATGGCTATAATGTACAAACCAGAAGGTTGGTGGTTCAAACCCACTAGTCACTCCTCGGAAGGAAGATTGGGCAATCTACTTTTGTAGTGATACCTCCTCGGAAACCCAAGGAGGGGTCGCTATGAGTCAGATCCGACTTGACGGCAGTGAGTTTGGTTTTTTGGTGTATAATGTATAAAAATACAGTAAGAAAATTTCTTTTGATAATTTTCATAAACGTTTATTGACAATACTCAGCTCATAGTCACTGAAATTCTGCTCTATGTCAGGCATTAGACCCTCATTCTCCACTTAATCTTTACAACTGCCAGGCAAAGTAGAAATTATCATCTTTACTGAGTTTATAAGGAAATGGAGGCTTGATTTGACCAACAAAATAATGTTTCTAATGAGTGGTTAATAGTGTTAACCATAAGTTAATACTATTATGAAATAATATTTTACCATAAAATAACTATTCATGAATTCATACTGATGTAAATAAATGAATAAATAAAAATTGAGGGAGAAGGGATAGCACTTTCTTTTTAAAATTTTTTTATTGTGATGTGGGTGGAAATTTAGAAAGCAAATTCATTTTATTCACAACAGTTCATGCACACTTGGTTTCACAGCCCTGAATATAATCCTCAACCATGAAAAGCTCTCCTCCCATCTTGTCCCTATGACTATCCCTTTCCTGTGCCCTTCTTATCTTTGCATTCCTGTCTGTCTAGCTGTGCAAATGCTGCCCTTCTGATGTCTCATGGTTGCTAGATCTAGGGGTTACATCTCCCTAGGGTAGGTGGGTGCATCCCCCTGGGGTAGGTGTTCTACTTGTAGGTCTTTCTACTGTTTGGCTGAGAGCTTATCCATGGAAGTGAGTCCAGTTTCAGGCCCAAAGGATAACCTGGGGCCATAGTCTTGGGGATTCAACTAGTCTCTCTCTGACCAGTAATTTTGGTCATTTTTGTGTTTTTGAATTTTATTCCACATTTTTCCTCTCACTCTATCCAGGCTCTCCAATTTTGATCACTTTCCGAGTGGTTGGCAGTGATACTCAGGCCCCATCTAGTTCTTCTGGTGTCAGGATTGTGAAGGCTGAGGTCTCAGTGGTCCATCATATCTTTGGACCTACTGTTTCCAAATGATTTTGATTTTCTTTACTCTTCTTTGCTCCAGACAAGGGGACACCAATAGTTGCATCCTAGATGGCTGCTTGATAGCTTTTAAGACCCCAGTCACTACTCACCAAAGTAGGATGTAGAACAAGACTTTTATGTACTATGTTGTGCTGATTGAGCATGATGCCCCTGAGACTATGCTCTTGAGCCTGCAGGCCCGGCAACTCTCTCCCTCAAGGTGTTTGATTGTCTCTGAGAAGCTACTTCAACCTTGTCCCCCGTTACTTCTGTACTGTATATGGATATTTTTGTAGCACAAGTACATATGTAAGACTATCTTCAGCCAAACAGGGATAGTGCTTTCTTGTAGTAAGATTCCAGTTAATAAATGTACAAGGAATGATGGAAATTAAAGATCACCACTCATCAAGCACCATAGCAATAACTATTGTAATCAAGATTCTTGGATGGATGCCAAAGTGAGTTGTTGTTATATGCTGTCAAGTTGACCCCGACCCATAGCGACCCCTCCTTGGGTTTCTGAGGCGATATCACTACAGAAGTAGATTGCCCAACCTTCCTTCCGAGGAGCGGCTGGTAGGTTTGAACCACCAGCTTTCTGGTTAGCAGTCAAGTGCCTTAGGCACTATGCTACCAGAGCTCCTATGCCAAAGTGAGTAGCTTTTGAAAATGTGATGAAAAACAAGATATTTGTGTGTCTCAAAGTGTTTCCCCACAAAACACTTATTTATTACACAGAGAATATTGCAACTTCATAGTGGAGAAACCTGTCAGACACTATCTTAACCAACTGATCAAAATTAATATCACCAGTTTCACAGCATGGTGAATGTAATCAATGTCACTAAATTGTACGTGTAAAAAATGTTACATTGCAAATATTTAGTTACATATATTTCACCACAATTAAAAAAAAGTTAACCACCAATAATGAGACATATTGAAATCATGTGCCTCTTTTCTGTGTTATACTTGTAAAATATATGTACTTAAATCTAATTATGAGAAATCATCAAACATAAGTTGAGAGATATTCTACAAAATAACCAACTTGGCCTCTTGAACAGTGTCACGATCATGAAAGACAAATAAATATTGAAAAAAAACATTCCATACTGGAGAAGACTAAGGAGACATGACAGCTCAATGCAATGTGGGATACTGAATTGGATCCTGGAACAGAAAAAGGACTGTCAGTCTCTTCAGCCAGAAATTGCCGAGGACTCACATGTAGTTGAACAAATGGGGTTTATTACTCACTGTAGCAAGGGAATGGAGCCCTGGGGACATACTGGTTAAGCACTTGGCTGTTAACCAAAAGTTTGGTTGTTCAAACCCACCACCCATTCTGCAGAAGAAAAATGTGACAGTTTGCTTTCATAAAGATTAGAGTTTAGGAATCCCTGACCCCTCCTTGGGTTTCCAAGGCAATATGTCTATGGAAGTAGATTACCCAGTCTTCCTTCCGAAGAGTGGGTTTAAACTGCCAGACTTCTGGTTAGCAGTCAAATGCCTTAAGTGCCATGCCACCAGAGCTCCCTACCCTACGGGGCAGTTCTACTTTCTCCTATAGGGTTGCTATAAGTTGGAATTGATGGCAACAGGTTTGGTGTGGCAGCAAGAGTGAACCACATCATGAGGAACTGGGTGTCTCAGTAAGGACAGCTTATAGAATTTAGGCTTTAGTTGAATTATTTGGAGTAGAGTCCAAGGAAGTGACAGTGCTATCAGAAAAAGTGGAGACAATTCTATGATTGGGTATCATAAAAAGTCTTATCTATAGAAGGGGCAGGCTACAGAAAGCTGTAACAACAGATAAAGAAGCAGAACTCACTTAAAGGAGCCAGGAAAAGGGGGTGCTTGGTATTTTGTGGCTTGGACAGTTAAAGATTTATCTGTTTTCAGTATGATTATGGAGTGCTCTTGTTTTTTTCTTGATCAATCTTAGTCATGGAGAAGGCTTGTATGATGTTGATGCTCTGAAAAATTATTTATGTGCAACAGGGGAACACCAAGACTGGTGTTGGTGCCAGGCTAGTTTGTAGTAACACCGAAGACTTGGTAACACCAAGCTAGCTCCTAGATGTCAGGGCTGCATATCTCTTTCTCAGGACATCAGTGGGACAAGTGGTGAAATTAAAATATGAGCTATAGGATAGTTATTGGATCAACATTAAGACTAGTAATGTGTATAGTATTGAGAGTATTGTATCAATATTAATTTCCTGATTTCAATATTTGTACTATGGTTATATAAGGCATTAACATTCCTGGAAATTGGGTAAAGAGTAAATGGGAACTCTGTACTTTTTTTTTAAACCACTCTATTGAGATCTATTTTACACACCAAAAAAACTTGACTCACTTTTGGTGTACAGTGTACAGTGATTTGTAGCATATGCACAGAGAAGTGCAACCATCACCATAATCTAATTTTAGAATATTCTAGTACTCTTTAAAAAAACCTCATACACTTCAGCAAACACTTCTCTTTTCCTCTGAATGCCTTCTACCCCAGCTCCTGGAAACCACTAATCTACTTTTTTATTCTATAGATTTGATTATTCTGGATGTTCTATATAAATGGATCATATAAAATGCATTCTTTGTGACTGGCTATTTTTCACTCAGAATAATGTTTTCAACTTCCATCCACATTGTAGCATGTATCAGTACTTCATTCTTTTTAATTGGTGAATAGTGTTCCATTGTACACATATCCCACATTTTGTTTGTCCATTCATCAGCTGATGGCCATTCATATT